AAACAGGTCCTTATGGCCCTGGCTCCATTTCCATTCTGGGGAGCATCAGTCCGGTTCCTATTCCACCGGCAAGTCAGGAAAATATTACAATATAGGACACCCACACGCTTCCTTCCGTCTGGCCGAAGGAACCCTGATCAGCATTGATTACTCCAGCAACGTGGAGGATTGACTGTCAGCTTGCCCTGCTTGCCCCTTTCCTCTCAGGACTACAGTAAGAGCCTGTCAGTTAAAACTTGCACAACCGGAAAGGTCTGAGAAGCTACGACTGCTGCCAATGCTGTCTAGGCCCTAAGCTCCTGCGCCCCTCAAATAAGCGTCGTACAATCCTTAGCATTCTAACCCCTGCGGTCTTGTTTCTGTCTAAACCCTCAGCCCTAAACCCTACACCCTAAAGAAGATTAATCCTCGTCCATGTGTTCCCTGTGCGACCTCGTCTGCCGCCTTTCATGCGTGTGCCTTGGGTACTCTTCTAGGCTCCGATCGGGGCTGGTTCCTCCAGTACCTGGGTGTTCTGCTAGGGTACCAACTTAACCGAATTATGCTCAACTTTCCATCGTGAAATGTGCCCCATCTGCCATGCCCCTTTGTCAGCTACCAACCAGATCCGCTAGAAGTTAGCTTGCACTGTCTTACTCTTTCTTCTCAGCCCTGTTCCCTAGATCTGCCAGTCTTCTGGAGGCGTATCTGTCAGCTTGCACTGCTTTACCCTTTCCCCTCGGCTTGTGTTGCCGGTGTCCCTGTCATTTTTTCCTCTTCCACTCGCCTCACTCTGATGGGGCTCCTTCTGACTTTGTCTTGCTGAACCTCACCTTCTTCTGACCGAGTACTTCTGTATCTGCCAACTGCCAGGAATTTCGGCTTGCAACGAGGACTTCAACTGTGTCTGCTTCTTCTCTCGGCGTTTAGTCTGGTCTTCAATGATTCCACCGCTTCTTTCTTTACAGATGACTTGTAGTGACTCCATCCTTATCGGTCCCTCGCCGCAGATTAGAGGTGTTAGTCAGGGGGGGAGGTGGTAAGAGGTTATCTGGGAAGGGGATGTGGAGGAGGGGGGCGCATGGCTTGGAGGTCTCCGCCCGTTTCTGGTCTGTTTAATCCCGCTTTTTAAACTGAATGGTACCTTTTCACTTCCTCCCTTCCCTGTGTTTTTTCTCTTGTTAATCCCAGTTTTTGAATTGGAACCAGCCCTTCTCTATTTTTGCAATACCTTTCCCGTTAAGCCAGGTTTTCTCAAATTTTTTCTGACTCAGATCTCGCTTCTCTGGTTGGATTATTTTCTGTTGTTCTTTTTGCTCTCTACTCCATCGAGCTCTTTATCTCTGTTTGTATTATGGACTTGACTTCCGTCCACCTCTCCTCCAAGCTGGGAAATTGATTATCTGACGTACCCTTGCATCTCGCTTTCCATATTACCCAGAGAGTCGCTCTCCTCCACAGGTCCGCTAAAGGTATTTCCTCTTCTTCCAAATTGTTGTCTACGATCCTCCCCGCCAATAGGTAAACCTTGTTGGAAGGAAACGTGTGTCCTATTAATTTGGCCCAGAGCGCGTTTGTTCTGTCCCAAAGTTCTTGGGCTCGCCGACAGAGAATGAGGCAGTGTGTCAATGACTCTTCAAGGCCTTCATTGCACACTTTGCACCACGCAGATGGTTGCTGGGGATCCTCTTGCTTTCTTCTTTTACTCAACCATTGGTTGACCGGTACTGCCCAGTATAGTATGAGCCATTGTAGGCTACTGATCCTTGCTGGCCTTATGCTAGTATACTTGCTCCATGGGATTCTGCCTGTCCATCCTGCATTTTCTCCCAAATTTTTCTTCCATCTATCTGTTATTATCGGTTGAGGATCCTTTGTCTTGTTTCTTAGTCTATAACCCACTTTGGTTTCATAGTCGTAAAGTGGTGTAAGCTTTTTGGCTCTTCCTACGCTACCTGGGGTGTACCAACCCCATTCTGCAGGGTCCATTTTCTAGATCTTTAATGTCTTCGTCTGGCCTGAAGATCCAGATTTCCTTTTGCCCCTGTTCATAGTTTAGGGTCTTTTTACAGTTGATTTTGGGTGAGCAGATTCTGACTTTTCTTAGATCTTTGAGTTCGATTGTTGTCCTTTGTTCTATTGTTTTTCTGGGTTTTACCCAGGTTTTGTGCGTATCTATTAGCTCAAAGGATTCAAATTCTGCCTTCCCTTCTTCTGTGTTTTTAATCAACTTGTATCCTTCTAGTGGGGGGTTTGGTCCCTTTTTTGTAGCCCAATCGCCTACGCTCCACTTGGACTTGGATTTTAAGAGCAATTCCCATCTCAAGGGGACGCTTTCTAACAACCTTTCTAAATGGTCTTTTAAGTTGTGGACTCCTTTGAGTTTGGTTCTCAGTTCTTGGGCAGTGGTCCATCTGTTCTTTTCTTTGTTCCATAAGTGTTCCACCTTCCAAACCCCATTACCCATCCACTTTCTCCAATGTTTGCCTTTAGAATTCAGAGTCCAGGGTTTGTGATTTTGGTCTTTTAAGAGGGGGTTTCCGAATAGGGGTTGTCTCAAGACTTCCTCTCTAATTTGTGGGGTTCTTATTTTCTGTGGGAAACAGTCTCTCCAGTGTTTTATCAAGGAGGCCTAACGATCACTGAGTGGATCTTTCCCTTCCATCTGTCTTCTTCTATCCTTTCGTGCCAGGGACCATGCGGGGTTGAGTATCCAGTGGTAGCCTTCTATGTTCGGGTCCACTTTGAAGGGACTAGATTGCGGATCTGGTGTAGGGCCATGTTGTGCCATGGGAGTTCTTTGTTAAAGAGGAGTTTGATTATCCATTTCAGTTGAAGTGCCTGGAATTGTGAGACTGGGTTCAATAAACCCAAACCTCCTTGTGATTTGGGTCTGGTAACATATTTCCAAGCCACTTTGGAGATGTGCGTGTCTTTATCCGCGTTACCTGTCCAGAGGTAAGCTCCATGTTTCTTTTTGAGGTTGGTAAAGAAATCTGGGGGTGGAGTCCAGAGAGACGCAACATACCATCCCGTAGATAAAATTGAGGTGTTAAGCACTATGACCCTTCCCATGAGAGACACGCGCGCTGTCTGCCAACCCGTCAGTTTATTGGCCATCTTGACGAGGAGACTGGTGCCTGAGGCCTCGCTGACTCCGTCCTCTGATACTTGGATGCCCAAGAAGCGCACAGGTTGTTGAGCATCCAGCCATTGTAACCCCCGGGTCTCTTGGGTTTGTTGTGGGGGGTCGGAAGAGGATAACCACCAGCCTACTGTTTTATTCCAGTTTATCTTCATTTCCGAGGCTAGCTGGAATGCCTGCATTGCTTTTGTGAGTGCGAGAAAGGACGAATTCGTTGCCCTGATAAGAACGGTCAGGTCATCTGCGAATAGAATTACTGTGGGAATAGTTAGAGGTCTTCCATCATGCTCTGCCGAGAGTCTTTCTATAGATGGGTCCTTGCGGAGAAAGGCAGCTATTGCTTCCATCACGAAGAGGAAGATCGGGGCTGCCAACGGGTCCCCTTGTCTAACGGATCTTGTCATTTTGTATTTTTCTGAGAGATGACCGTTGACTTGTACCATCCCTTGGGCGTCGCCATATAGCACCTTTATCCATTTTCTGAAGTTTGGTCCTACCCCCATTTTTTCCATGCTTAGCTGCAAGAAGTCCCAGTTGACCTGATCGTAAGCTTTTTCAAAATCGAAGAGCAGTATGGCGGCTTGTATTTTTTTGTCTTTTATGATTTTAGTGGCTTTGTTTAGGCAGACCACATTGTCCAGGATGTATCTTCCCGAAATGAAACCTGTTTGGTCTAGATGGAAGCATTTGTCCGTGACATTCCTTATTCTGTTGGCTAAGGTTTTGGCCAATATTTTGTATACTACCGGTAGGAGGGTTATAGGCCTGTAATTCCTTATGTCTGCTCTTTCTCCTTTTTTATATAGGAGGGTGACTACCCCCGTGCTGACCTCTTCCCCGAGAGATCCCTTGTCAAAGGCTTCTAGGAAGAATGATGTGATTGTGTCTCCCATTAGGTGTCAGTTGGCCTGCCAAAATTCCTTTGGCAGACCGTCTAAACCGGGGGTTTTGTGCGGT